CAAAACCTACTCCAAAACCAAACCCCAAAACCTACTCCCAACCAAATCCAAAACCTACTAACCAACAAACCTACTCCAAAACCTAACTCCAAAAACCTACTCCAAACCAAATCCAAAACCTACTCCACACCAAACCTACTCCAAAACCTACTCCAAAAACCCACTCCAAACCAACCAAAACACTCCAAAACCTACTCCAAAACCTACTCCCAAAACCTACTCCAAACCAAATCCAAAACCTACTCCAAAACCTACTCCAAAACCTACTCCAAACCAAATCCAAAACCTACTCCAAACCAAATCCAAAACCTACTCCAAAACCTACTCCAAAACCTACTCCAAACCAAATCCAAAACCTACTCCAAAACCTACTCCAAAACCTACTCCAAAACCAAATCCAAAACCTACTCCAAACCAAATCCAAAACCTACTCCAAAACCTACTCCAAAACCTACTCCAAAACCTACTCCAAACCAAATCCAAAACCTACTCCAAAACCTACTCCAAAACCTACTCCAAACCAAATCCAAACCTACTCCAAAACCTACTCCAGGCCCCTCCCCCTCCGCCAACCTGCCCCCCAAAACCTGCCCCCAAGGCCAACCCCCAGGCCTACTCCCTGCTCAAAACCAAACCTCCTCAAACCAAAACAAAAACCACAATACCCAACCCCCCAAACAAACCCAAACCAAACCAAACCTACCCCAAACCTACTCCAAAACCTACTCAAACTCCAAAACCTACTCCAAACCAAATCCAAAACCTACTCCAAAACCTACTCCAAAACCTACTCCAAAACCTACTCCAAACCAAATCCAAAACCTACTCCAAACCAAATCCAAAACCTACTCCAAAACCTACTCCAAAACCTACTCCAAACCAAATCCAAAACCTACTCCAAACCTACTCCAAAACCTACTCCAAACCAAATCCAAAACCTACTCCAAACCAAATCCAAAACCTACTCCAAAACCTACTCCAAAACCTACTCCAAACCAAATCCAAAACCTACTCCAAAACCTACTCCAAAACCTGCTCCAAACCAAATCCAAAACCTACTCCAAACCAAATCAAAACCTACTCCAAAACCTACTCCCAAACCTGCTCCAAAACCTGCTCCCAAAACCTACTCCAAACCAAATCCAAAACCTACTCCAAAACCTACTCCAAAACCTACTCCAAACCAAATCCAAAACCTACTCCAAACCAAATCCAAAACCTACTCCAAACCAAATCCAAAACCTACTCCAAACCAAATCCAAAACCTACTCCAAAACCTACTCCAAACCAAATCCAAAACCTACTCCAAAACCTACTCCAAACCAAATCCAAAACCTACTCCCAAACCAAATCCAAAACCTACTCCAAACCAAATCCAAAAACCTACTCCAAAACCTACTCCAAACCAAATCCAAAACCTACTCCAAAACCTACTCCAAACCAAATCCAAAACCTACTCCAAAACCTACTCCAAACCAAATCCAAAACCTACTCCAAACCAAATCCAAAACCTACTCCAAACCAAATCCAAAACCTACTCCAAAACCTACTCCAAAACCTACTCCAAAACCTACTCCAAAACCTACTCCAAACCTACTCCAAAACCTACTCCAAAACCTACTCCAAACCAAATCCAAAACCTACTCCAAAACCTACTCCAAAACCTACTCCAAACCAAATCCAAAACCTACTCCAAACCAAATCCAAAACCTACTCCAAACCAAATCCAAAACCTACTCCAAAACCTACTCCAAAACCTACTCCAAACCAAATCCAAAACCTACTCCAAAACCTACTCCAAACCAAATCCAAAACCTACTCCAAACCAAATCCAAAACCTACTCCAAACCAAATCCAAAACCTACTCCAAACCAAATCCAAAACCTACTCCAAAACCTACTCCAAACCAAATCCAAAACCTACTCCAAACCAAATCCAAAACCTACTCCAAAACCTACTCCAAAACCTACTCCAAAACTACTCCAAAACCTACACCAAAACCTACTCCAAAACCTACTCCAAAACTACACCAAAACCTATTCCAAAACCTATTCCAAAGCCTACTCCAAATCTCTACTCCAAATCTCTACTCTTATTACGTCAAAATGATTCCCTTTTATAAAAAAATTCAATATCAAACATCCATTTTTTAGTTAGATTTTTTAAAAAACCCAATCCAGACATCCAGATGACATTTCGATTGATTCTAAAATTGCTTTTCTGAGGTTCAAAAAGAGTTCTATTCTTTGCTCGGCAAAAAAAAATAATAGCCATTATATATTTACAAAGTTTATTTTAGTTGATTGAGCTGTGCAAACGAGCTTTGGTGAAATGAATTCATTTTGGTTTTGATAGAGATATTACTTTCCTTTTCTCTTTCTTCCTTTCTCTTCCTATCTCTTCCTATCTCTTCCTTTCTCTTCCTTTCTCTTCCTTTCTCTACCTTTCTCTTCCTTTCTCTTCCTTTCTCTTCCTTTCTCTTCCTTTCTCTTCCTTTCTCTTCCTTTCTCTTCCTTTCTCTTCCTATCTCTTCCTTTCTCTTCCTTTCTCTTCCTTTCTCTTCCTATCTCTTCCTTTCTCTTCCTTTCTCTTCCTATCTCTTCCTATCTCTTCCTATCTCTTCCTATCTCTTCCTATCTCTTCCTATCTCTTCCCTATCTCTTCCTATCTCTTCCTTTCTCTTCCTTTCTCTTCCTATCTCTTCCTATCTCTTCCTATCTCTTCCTATCTCTTCCTATCTCTTCCTATCTCTTCCTATCTCTTCCTTTCTCTTCCTTTCTCTTCCTTTCTCTTCCTATCTCTTCCTATCTCTTCCTATCTCTTCCTATCTCTTCCTATCTCTTCCTATCTCTTCCTATCTCTTCCTATCTCTTCCTATCTCTTCCTTTCTCTTCCTTTCTCTTCCTTTCTCTTCCTTTCTCTTCCCCCTAGTATTCTCTCTTTCTTCTCTAGCAATACTGGATAGTTCAGTGGTTAGAGCATTTGTCTGAGGAATAAAAAGGTTTGGTTCAATTCCCTCTCCGGAAATCTTTCTTTCTTCCCATTTCTTACTTTACTTTATTACCTGAATAGTTTGAATTCATTGGATATCTTGATTTATACCGTACAAGTCTGCTGTGCTTGTACGATACTGTACAATAGATTTGTACAATACTGTACTATCGACTTGTACAATACTGTACTATTGACTTGTACAATACTGTACTCTGGACTTGTACAATACTGTACTATCGACTTGTACAATACTGTACTATTGACTTGTACAATACTGTACTATTGACTTGTACAATACTGTACTATCGACTTGTACAATTCTGTACTATTGACTTGTACAATACTGTACTATCGACTTGTACAATGCTATACAATAGACTTGTACAATACTATGCAATAGACTTGTACAGTATCCTTTAGCCAATCTTATCTATATTAAGATTAGGTTTAGATGTTAGTCGGATGTGAATTAAGTTTTTTCCCCTCAATAGTTCTCATCCAGACATCAATGTTTACCAAGAGGCGCTGTCAGATTAGAGGTGTTCTCTCGAAAACCTGTTCTCCTGCTTGTTCTATGAAAAATTCTTGGCCGAGAAATTCATAATGCAATATCTTACAAGAACTCCTTTACAGTACTCCTTTACAGTACCCCTTTCTAAGCTAGATTTTCGCCTACAGTACCCTTTCCCAGCCACAGTAACCCTTCCTCAGCTAGATTATCGCCTACAGTACCCTTTCTCAGCTACAGTAATCCTTCCTCAGCTAGATTATCGCCTACAATACCCTTTCCCAGCTACAGTAACCCTTTCTCAGCTAGATTATCGCCTACAGTACCCTTTCCCAGCTACAGTAACCCTTCCTCAGCTAGATTATCGCCTACAATACCCTTTCCCAGCTACAGTAACCCTTTCTCAGCTAGATTATCGCCTACAGTACCCTTTCCCAGCTACAGTAACCCTTCCTCAGCTAGATTATCGCCTACAATACCCTTTCCCAGCTACAGTAACTCTTCCTCAGCTAGATTATCGCCTACAGTACCCTTTCCCAGCTACAGTAACCCTTCCTCAGCTAGATTATCGCCTACAATACCCTTTCCCAGCTACAGTAACTCTTCCTCAGCTAGATTATCGCCTACAATACCCTTTCCCAGCTACAGTAACTCTTCCTCAGCTAGATTATCGCCTACAATACCCTTTCCCAGCTACAGTAACTCTTCCTCAGCTAGATTATCGCCTACAGTACCCTTTCCCAGCTACAGTAACCCTTTCTCAGCTAGATTATCGCCTACAATACTCCTGTATCATCTAAATCACATCTAAATCATCACAATACTCCTGTATCATCTAAATTCCTTATACAGCACCCATACCCTATCTAAAATCTTCTTTATTCAAATCAAAACCTAAATCTTTGGTCTACCTGATTATTTTCTTTATAACTTTTGATCTCCTGGCCAAAAGGAGGCCAAAAGGAGGCCAAAAATATTCCAGAAGCCCCTTTTTGCGTCACTGTTTCTCCCAGAATTAGAAGTTTTTCCTCGATTTTGTTTTTGCGGGCTTTAGTATATTATATCAATTTTTTGAATTATTTGATACTATTTCTAACTAACTATTTCTTTGCTATATTACCTTTTTTCATTACTCTATTCAATTCTTTGAATAGAGTAATGAATTCAATGCTTTCAATGCTAAAAATCATTGATTCACATCCAAAATTCGCTTGTAAACAGTGATTTTTGCAAACTTTATCTCCATTTTAACTTTTTAGATGAAATTTTAGGTAAATTTAGGTAAATTGAGGTAAATTGTGATGAAACGAGGAGAGAAGAAAGAGGAGAGGAAGAAAGAGAAGGCAGGGAATGATAGAGAAGAGTTTTGAGAAGAGTTGCTTAAAAACTCGAGTATATTTTCGCAGACTCGACTACTGATCTGGTTTTGACCTTTGTGCTCATTGTAAACACACTCTTTCTAGTGCACTGAATTCTTTTTTAAGCTCAAAGCACATCATGGCAACAAATCTAGAAATGAATCAGAAAGGTATTTGAGTGAAAGGAAAGCTCGCTAACCACCAAAGACATAATATACGTGACTCTTCCTCTTCTTCTTCCTCTTCTTCGTCCTCTTCTTCTTCTTCCTCTTCTTCTTCCTCTTCTTCTTCTTCTTCATCCTCTTCTTCTTCTTCCTCTTCTTCTTCTTCTTCTTCTCCTTCTTCTTCTTCCTCTTCTTCTTCTTCTTCTTCCTCTTCTTCTTCTCCTCCTTCTTCTCCTCCTTCTTCTCCTCCTTCTTCTCCTCCTTCTTCTTCTTCTTCTTCTTCTTCTTCTTCTTCTTCCTCTTCTTCTTTTTCTCCTTCTTCTTCCTCCTCTTCTTCTTTTCCTTTTCCTTTCCCCATCAACCCGGTCTCACCCCTGTAACTCCACGAAATTACATATCCAGTGAAAGCAATGGGAGAATCCCTTATGTCAAGAGCTTTCCTTTTGTGGAAAGGGAAAGCATTCCACTTCCACTTTCACAGCAAAGACTCTGTTTTTGACGATACTTGGATAACTGAATGAATAAGCTTTTGTTTTTCGTCCTATTTATTGGCCTATTCATTCAGTTATCCAAGTATCGACAAAAACAGAGTCTTCACTGTGAAAGTTAAAGCTGTTGATCTCCAAGCATTTCAAATAGACTCTTCAATCACCTTAGTACCCACTTGCGATCTTTTGAGAAAAGGATTGGCGCTTTAAAGCGTGGTAAAAGTACCGTACCCCTCAAAAATGGCAGGTAGAAGGTGCGCCATTTCATTCTTTCATTCTTGTTCTTTATTTCATTCTTGTTCTTGATTTTATTTAATTCTTGTTCTTCATTTCTTTTCATTCTTTTCATTCTTTTCATTCTTTTATTCTTGTTCTTTATTTCATTTCATCCTTTTTGTATTTCTGATGTTTTTTCTTTGTATTCTTTATGATGACATAACTTTGAAAGGGGTTTGTAGTGATGTGATTATTGTTGGTTTAGATATAATCTTTATTACAGCTATAATAGTTGGTTCAGTGGGAGAGTAGAGACACTCCACGGCACACGTCGGCAGCTCGTTCACATTGCTTTTATACGGAACTCAGGCGTTGGTCTCGTCTCGCACACAATGGAGTTGAACGGATAGCGACGCATATTAAATCTCGCACAATTGGCGCTCGTCCACTGCCTAGCTGGCCAATTCCATCTCGATCTCGATCACAAGATCGTCACGACAGGGTTTGCAAAGGATAGGATCTATTTTTCCTTCCGAGTAGAGTGTATTCCTCGCGAGTAAGTAATTACTCGAGTGATTGTCGAGCAATAGCTCGAGTAATTGTCGAGTAATGCGTTTTCTAAAAAGTGCGCCTACGCGAAAAAAATATAAAAGCAATTTTTTGCGCAGATTTTTCAGAAAAATCATTTTTTACATTGGAAGTGGATTTCCCACCAAATCAGTTAAACGGCTGAGTATCTTTAAAAAGTGTCGTATATAATGCAGGGCTCGTGATTTTTGCTTCATTTTCTGCAATAATTTTTGCTAAAAATATGGTAATTTTTTTTCCCCAAGTTTGCGTTTTCAAAAATGCGTTACTCGCGAGGAAAGCACTCTACTTCCGAGCATAAAGAATCTATGTTTTTATATTAAAGTGTAGTAAGTAAGTTGTGGATTTCTATAACGGAATTTCATAAAGGGGCTATTACTAGCCCCCCAAATCCCCCCAAGCACTCCCCGGTGAGGGAGGGGGTCACCCGAGCTATCTTGGAGGAATCACCCTTACCTCAACCTCTGACAAAGACGCGCCACCGTCTTAGGGAGCAATTGCCCTGGGTTTTAGAGTCTTTGTCTTTGTCCAAGTTTTAGAGTCTTTGCTTTGACTGAGCGTTGTTTGGGCTGTGCACCCCTCAGCTTTCCGACAATTCCCTTGGCTTTAAAGTACCCGGGTACTTAGGAGTGCCATTCTCCTTTACCTCACGGACCTGCATCCGCTACAGTGGCGCACGGAGGACATCCGCTGCCGATAGTGGGTCGGTGACTCCTGCTTTTTATGACCCCCTCTGTGGCCATAAGCGATAACCTGCGCGTTTATTGGTCCCAGAGGGTCCAAATCACCTCGACTTCAAAAAAGCATCGTCTGGCACATGGAACCTTTTTCGGGTGGTACAGGTGGTTTAATTACCCAAGTTTCCCACAAATAAAACAAATTTTTGCAATAACACTTCAATTTTTCTTTTTTTCTTAACATTTTTACAATATTGTTTCGAATTTTACAAATTAGAGTTCTGAAGTATCTTTTCATATCAAAACCATTTAAAATCTGCGATTTGTAAAAAAGTTTTCCTTAAGATAAAATTCAGTCTCAAGAGTTTTCTAGAGAGATAGTTCTAAGGGTAGAATTCAAATCTGTCGAAAAAATCAGAGTTACCTAACGAAAGCACTTTTTTTACTTGACAATTGTGCTATTCGTCGTCGGAGTTTAATTACTCTTCTCTTTTTCTTTCATCAAATTCAGTCTCAAGACTTTTCTAGATGTCACGATGCATGAATTGATTACATCTTGAATTCCCGTGAGCAGATCAACTTAAGTTAAGTTTTAAAATGTTGCTTATGAAATTCCATTATATATTAGAACTTAATAGGAACCATATTAGAACTTAATAGGAACCGTATTGGAACCGTATTGGAACCGTATTGGAACTTAATAAGAACCATATTAGAACTTAATAGGAACCGTATTGGAACCGTATTGGAACCGTATTGGAACCATATTGGAACCAATACGGTTCCAATACGGTTCCTATTAAGTTCTAATATGGTTCCAATACGGTTCCTATTAAAGTTGTAATATGGTTCCAATACGGTTCCAATACGGTTCCAATAAGGTTCCTATTACGTTCAAATATGGTTCCAATACGGTTCCAATACGGTTCCAATACGGTTCCTATCAAGTTCTAATATGGTTCCAATACGGTTCCAATCCAAGGCTTTCAGGCCTGAAAACGCTTTCAGTACTGAAAAGACTTTCAGTACTGAAAAAGCTTTGATTACTGTAGGGTACTTTCAGGCCTGAAAAGGCTTTCAGTACTGAAAAGGCTTCCGGTACTGAAAGCATTCTTGATCTTCAAAGATGGTACCAACCTTGAAGATGGTACCATACCTAAGAGTACCCCGTGGGATTACTTTTAATAAAAGAGAGTGATTTACTAAGAGTAATCCCACGGGGATTACTCTTTATAAAAGAGAGTGAATTATTAAGAGTAATCCTATCCGGCGCGAATAAAATTTATCGGCAATTTAGCACTGACGCGTCTTGCCGAGAGACATTCGGGGTCAGAGAGCATGCAGCAACCTTATGCCCGCCTTAGAGGACCTAAGGTTGCTGCATGCTCTCTAGCCCCGAATGTCTCTCGGCAAGACGTCAGTCTTGGTTCTCTGTTGATATTAACCCTTATCCGTCCCGGATAAAAGTTAATAATATCGGGATTTTTATATTAGTCAAGGAAATCGTGAATATCTTGACTAAAATCGCAATGCGATGTTAGTCAAGGAAATCGGCAAGATCTCGACTAAAATCGCATTGCGATATTAGTCAAGATCCTTCGAAGAGAGTCTTCTGTACCAAAGGTTTATGTTAAGAGAGCCTTCGATATCGAAGGCTTATGTTAAAGACCCCTTCGGTACCGAAGGCCTTCAGTACCGAACGCTTATGTTAAGAGGTCTTTCGGTATCGAGGGCTTATGTTAAGGACCCCTTTGGTACCGAAAACCTTCAGTACCGAAGACTTATGTTAAGAGAGCCTTCGGTACCGAAGGCTGATGTTAAGAGAGCCTTTAGTACCGAAGGCTTATGTTAAGAGATGCTTTGGTATCGAAGGATCTCTGAACATAAGCCTTGACTAATATCGCTCTTGATATTGCTCTTAAAATATTACTTATGAAATTTCGTTATATAAATCCACAAGTTATTTAATTCATCTTACTGTAAAAATATACAGAAAATTCTGTTGAAAGTCAGACTACTTATTTGAAGAGTGATTCCACTCAAAACCTCTATAACTCCTCCAAAACTTTGTTAACTTTGTTAACAGGGTGATTTTGTTAACAAGGTGCGGTTCTTAACAAGACGAACTTGTCAACAACGTGAGTTTGTTCACAAAGTGAAATTCTTAACAAGGTGATCTTGTTAATAAGGTGAGGTTCTTAACAAGGTGACCTTGTCAACTAGGTGAGGTTCTTAACAAGGTACTAAGAGTAATCCCACGCGGATTACTCTAAGTAGAAGAGAGTGATTTACTAAAAGTAATCCCACGGGGATTACTCTTAGTAAAAGATGGTGAATTACTGAGAGGAATCCCACGGGGCTTACTCTTAATAAAAGATGGGGATTTACTAAGAGTAATCCCCGTGGGATTACTCTTAGTAAAAAAGAGTCAATTATTAAGAATAATCTCAGATTACTCTTATTAAAAGATAGGAATTTACTAAGAGTAATCGCCTTGGGATTACTCTTGGTAAAAAAAGAGTCAATTACTAAGAGTAATCCCAGGGTATTACTCTTAGTAAAACACCCTCTTTTACTAAGAGTAATCCCCGTGAGATTACGCTTAGTAAATCACTCTCTTTTAACCCTTAGGTACCTAACTTTTAAGTACCTGACCGTTAGGTACCTAACCCTTGGGTACCTAACCCTTCGGTAGCAGCCTAACCTGCCCCCAGATAACCTGGGAGCAGGTTCGGTTTCTGGAGGTTGATCTCAGTACCTCTAAAAATGAAGATTCCAAACCGTTATGAATATAATTGACAGAATGATCAAGAGAAATGACTACAAAAGCCATGCGACTCAGGAAAAAATAAGTTCTTATAGTTAGGTGTTCTTTTGAAATGAAATTGTTTAGGCTCAACTTAATCTAAAAATCGTTAACGCGGACTTATTCTTCATTATTCTTCTCCGAGTTTTTCAGTTCTTGTTGTTTTTTCAATGCTTCAATTATTTGTTCGAAAGACTTCAGTACTTCAGTACTGAAAGTTTCATTAAAGTTGACTACCTAAGCTCGGTCTAGAAGTTGAGAGAAAAAAAAAGAAAAAAAGAAAAAAAAAGTAAGGTTTGTATGATTTATATCTCATCTCAACTTCTTTTTGGTCCAACTTTCTTTTTGGTAGAAAGCTGGTTTATGAAATTTATGAATTGATGAAAAATCAGAGTAAAAAACTGCAACTTGGGGGGGGGGCTATTTCTAGCCCCCCAAATCCCCCCCAAGCACTCCCCGGTGAGGGAGGGGGTCACCCTGAGCTATCTTGGAGGAATCACCCTTACCTCAAGCTCTGACGAAGACGCGCCACCGTCTCAGGCTCTGAAAAGTCCTGGGTCTCCGAGTTTTAGAGTCTTTGCTT